GCCCAAAGACTAGAAGAACTGAAGAGTTCCAACACCTGTTATCTTATTTTTTGTCTTTTGTTTTTATTAACTGGGAGACATCTCAGCCTTTTGATTTTTTTTGAGGGTTTGAAAGAATGGTTGTATGCATGCATGCATGTATGTATGTATGAGCATCTGTAAAGTCCACATGGGAAAGCACCAGAAAAAGAGTTTGCCAAGTTTAAGCAACCCCTAAACATAGTCTTTTAAAAGATACTCATTGGATGTGTGTTTTTTTTCTTTGTGTAGAATCCTAAAACTGTCAGCTGTGAATTGTTAAGTGAAAATTTCAAAACTTCTGCTTATTAGTGTACTATTCAGGTTTGTATTATCTGTGATGGGGGTGGGGGGGAAATCATGAAACAGTTAGGAATCACATAAAAGTGAAATCTAAGGAGGAAGATTTAATTTATTTCAATATTAAAATACTCAACCAGCTAAATTCTGATTGCATTGCTGTGAGTTCCTTACTGGGTGTTTTACTCCTGGGGGAATTCCGCACATCTGCGGGTGTGCAGAATTCCCCCATCTCGCATAATTTTGTATTTTCCCTCATAAAATACATTTTGCCTAAAAGTGCTGCAGTTCTGCCTTTTGCCCACCAGAGGTAGCTGTAGTGCCAGAACACCCAGCTGCGTTCATGCTGGCTGTTCTAGCACCACAGCGGTTTCTGGTGGGCAAAAGGCGGACCTGCAGCACTTTTAGGCAAAATGTGTTTTATGTGGGAAAATACAAAATTCTATGCCCAGTGCTGCAGAATTCCCCCAGAAGTAGAGTTCATCACAGCACCCTTCTAGCAGAGCCAGGTTAGAACAGAGTGGGCCACACAGGGCTGCGGGGGGGGGGGGGTGTCACAGACTCGGGTTCAGAATGGCTAGTGGGGGGACAGACTGGAGCATGGGCTCAGGAGCTAGTGGGGTAACAGCGTTGAGGATTGGGACAGGGAAGGGGGGCTGCAGAGACCCATGGGGAGGAGGGGTGCGGGAACAGAGACAGATGTGCCTGACTGAATGGGAGAGGCTTGGGGTCAGCCAGGGTCTGCATGGAGGAGACTTTCCAACACCCTAACAATCCCCCCGCCCCCCCACCCCCAAGAAAAACCCTCCCACCGACACCCAACACCCTCCAGGTTCACTCCTAGGCTCCTTCCCTCTCCCTCAGTTCTTCTGTTACCCCTGACTCCCCAAAGCCTTTGCACTGCTTCTGACATGTGCAGGAAATACTGTTCTATGTTGTAATTTAAATGAATTACACAGAGTTCTGTATTAATATGCCTAGTAAGGAATCTATTTGTCAAAAAACTTTTTTGGTCTGTATTGTTAGACAACTTGCTGACAAATATTTTGAAATAAAGTACCAAAATAATTGTAACTGACATGATTATATTGTGTTATTTTGACAAATACAATATGCAGAATTTTGCAGAATTTTTAGTTTTTTGGCACAGAATTCCCCCAGTAGTAGTGTTTATAACCAAGTAGACAGAACCTCCTTGATTTTTTTTTTTTTAGGATTTATAAGGGTTGCTTATCTGTAAATTATAAAAAAGGAGTCTGAGTCATCTTTGTTTCAATAAGCAATATATGTCAGAATCATAGAGAATCTGTGTGGATGTGAACCAGTTCACCTAGGAGCCTAATCAGCTCTCTTTAAATTAACTTTTCATTTTCACACAGCTGCCCTTCATTCACTATAGATTTTAGTTTTTCCCTGTGTTTCAAAATGAACCTGTTCATAAACTGAGATTAGTGTAAATAATTATATTTTCTGAGAAGCGCTTGGTAATTAGCTACTAGCATCTGGAGGCTGGCTGACAGACAGACTTCATCCAAATAGGTCCAGCTTTAAAGTCTTTCTCCCTAAGTGTTGATTTGGGAACCCTTGTTTAGGATTTGGATCCCCGGAGAGTAGCTACAACAAGAGATCCGTGTTATAAGGGGAGAATAAAAGTACTCAGAACCTTTGGAAGGGGCTTGATAACTTTTTGTCAGCACATTTGGATGTGGCTTGAATTGAGGCAGGAGGTCTTTTGGAAGCTCCAGTAATCCCCTTATTTATCAGTATGGCAAACCTACCAAGCAAGGAAGGGAGAGTGCAAAATGTCTAGCAGTTTGTGTGGTTTCTCTTGCATCTCCTCCACTGTTATGTCAAGAGCCTCTGCCATTTATTTAATATGTTGGAATGCCTTAAAATCATCAACTGGAGAAAACATTGAGGGGTTCACTGCCTCATTAGGGAAGGATAAGGGAATTGTGGCCGGGATTAATTGTTCTCCCTCATCTGCCTGATATACGCTTCTCTCTTCTTCCCATCTCTTTAGTATCTGAGGCTGTATTAATTGACCTGGCTGGAAACATCTATATCGCCTCTTAGGAGAAGAGGATCTATCCCTGGGAGTGGGGGCAGTAGCTACTGGCTTGCAAGTATGTGGGTTGCATACCCCAGGGTGCCTAGTAGGGCCAAGGTTGATAGGCACATGAATCTTGGATTGGTGGAGGCAGAGAAGGATACTGTGGGGCTGGTCTCTGAAGTCCATGCCTTTTCCTGCTGAAAGCAGTCCCTAAAGTCCCTCCTGGATTCCCATTGTGATCCTTGTGAAGGGATAGGAGGGTGAGTGGGAAAGGAACCCTCCTGTGTACCGATGGGGAGGATGAGAAGGAACACACCATCTCCGCAGGTGAGGCTACCCTTTCAGGCATACTAAGGCACTCTGATGTCACTTATACTCAAGTAGGGGATAGAGTTGGTATTACCTATTTTGTTTGTGTTACCGAGGTCTCATGACCAGGAGACTGACCAGCACCACCTTCAGCCTATCCAGCAAGGTGACTCCTGTATTGGGCCCACAGCTAAATCACCCAGTACACACACATGCTCTAGGTGCCAATAGGGATGATGCTGAGGAACTGGCTAGTGAGGAGGTCAGTACCAGAAGAAGGATGATCCAGAGGTGCAGTGGAGATACTATAGGCACCTGTTTAATAGTTGGTACCAAGGCACCAGAGGGTTCTTTCTCAGGATGTTGGCTGCCCTTTGAGTTTGAGAAGAGTGAGACCTGTGGTGATTTTTGTGTCTGTTTTTCATAGGCACTGGGGGAGGGTGACCTGTGTCTCAGCTCAATTCTGGAGCGATGATGATCCCTCCTGCACCTTTTCGAAGCTATTGCGACAGAGATTGAAGCCCGTGACTGGGGTCCAATGTTTCCCTGGAGCCTGGGGTAGAATCGCGGATCTCCAGGGCACTCATTAAGAGGGTCTGGGCAGGGGACTATGCCTTTGTTAGGTCCTTCCTTTCTGTGTCCAAAGAGGCCTTCCTGGAGCACTCCAGAAGGAATAATCTCAGGTGGGCCTTTGGAAAATGAGTGGCAGATAGAGCAACGTTCTGGAATATGCCCCTTGCCTAAACAAAAAAGCACCTAGAATGCCCATCACTTAGTGGTATAGAAATGTCATACGAGGGACAAGATTTAATCTCTGGGTTTTCAGCACAGCGGTTTAGTTTTTCTTTCTTTCTTGGTTGCTAGGAAAGCAGGCGGACAGTGCAGCGGTTCAGTCGTTCTGCCATGGGCGGTAAGAAAGAACTGAAGGACAGTAGGGTCTGCGCCTGCCCTTTTATACCCTTGGGTGGTGCGAGGACGTGTAGGGGTGTGGCCCCAATGAACCCTGCTGGCCAAAAGAACCCAGTCTCGCATGCATGAGCACCAAGAGAGGGATCCATGTGGACAAATACTCAAAGATGAAACATGATTTATTCATTTCCCAAGCTATAAAATTCCTCTCAAGCCTATCTTCAAGAACACAGTCTTTATTTTCCCAAAGACAAAAGAATAATAGATTAATAGAAGAAAATACATTAATGTTTGTCAGCATATCTTATTCATAATATTTATGTTCATATCCTTAGAGGTCAAAATATTAGAGAAGTACTTGATTTCAGTTTTTGTATACTGGCTTTTAAAATTCCTTCCTTGTTTGGTGAGGATTCTTCAGCTGCCCTTTTCTGTATACTCCTTGTGAAGCTCTGGCACTGGCACTGTCAGACCGAGGTTACTGGGCTAGATCGACCACTGGTTTGACCCTATATGTCAGCTCTTATGTTCCAAACTAAGTACTGATCCAGCCAACTCAGATCACTAATGCAAAATCAGTCTCCCTCCTCACCCCCAGCTAGAAGGCATCTATTATGTGTTTATCAGTTCAAATTTAATGTGAACAGATTTTGATAATGGAACCGCATATATTTTCTTGATTCAGATTCAATTTGAAAGCTATTCTCTTGCTGATAAGGGAGCAGGGACATTATGGGCTGAAAGTATAATGTAACATTTGCTTTAAAAATTATTTGTTTTATAAAGTAATCTTCATGGAGTTTATCAAAGGAGAAAATGTCAATGAGAGAAAATGCCTTATGCTTTATTAATTTTCCATACATATTCGTTCATAAATGTCTCAAGAAATGTAAAATAATCCCATTTAGGGAGAGATCCTTTCATCTCCAGGAATGATAGATAAGGGAAAAGGCCTTTGTTAGTCTCTAAGGTGCCACAAGTACTCCTGTTCTTTTTGCGGATACAGACTAACACGGCTGCTACTCTGAAACCTGTCAAATGTGGTTGGTTAGTCACGATTCCTTATTCAGGTTCCCAGGTAATAATGCAAAGGCTGAAGTTGGTTATTTGCACATTGTGAATCTGGGAGCATCAACTATACTAAATTCATATTGAATTTCATAATACATAGTACTTATCTATATATGTACTGCACGACTGCCCTGTTATGTGGCACTTACACAGTTCCCCACTGCACTGAGGGAATAGTAATGAGGATCAAGGCCCTAATTATTCTCTTTGTGAAAGGACTTTCTGGTTGGGGAAAGGTTTTACTTCTAATTCAAGTACATTGTTGTTGCAGCTGTAGTATTTGAGTGTTTTGCTGCTGTGAAGATTGTGCCACACTGACCTGCTGTCTGTCTCTTTGCAGTGCCAATCTTTCCAAAGCTGCCTGGGGAGCTCTGGAGAAAAACGGCACGCAACTGATGATTCGTTCATATGAACTTGGAGTCCTTTTCCTGCCTTCAGCATTTGTAAGTTCATAATTCAGCAACGAAAGCCTAGATACTGTGACAGTCTGCAAATGCTGATATCTTACAAAAAAGTCTGTAACCACATTATTCTATCCCATTGTATACTTGTTTATTATTTCTTTTGTTTAATTTTTTTTTGGGGGGGGGGAGGTTTAGTAGTTTTTTTAGAGTTATAGAACTTAGTGCTTTAAAGAAAACCCATATGTTTACCCATACATCAGGCAGGAATTTGGTACCTAGACGGGTTTTCATAGTCTCCTTATGGTAAATACAGTAATATGCAATACTTTATGGATAAGATTCAGAATCTTTTGCTAGCTCTGCTCTGAGATTACTCTCTGAGTCTGGACTGAGACTCTGCATAACTCAGCAGAAATGTGTTGTCATACTTTCAGAGCTAATTAATCTCTACTTTTAAGATCTTTTGCTGCACCCATTTTGTTGAGTACAATGCCCTGTGGGTTCAGAAAGGGAGAAGCATATTTTGTCACACACAATTGGTCATTTGGAGCTGAAAATAAAATTTCTAATCCCCTCTGATCACTTTCCTGAAATCCACTGATGATGGCCATTGGACAGTTCCACCTTGCCTTTTCCCAGACTCACTGCTTTGAAAGAGCAGATTTTCAAATTTCTTTGTTACTATGGTATCAGTAGTTTCCAGTCTAGTTATCAAAGGCAGAATTGGAAAGTTGAAGCATTGCTACTGGATATGCTCAGTAGATAAAATCTCTGTTCTGAGAGAGAATGAGGGGAAGGAGTAGAGCAGAGTACTGAGAGTCAGGAGGCCTGGGTTCCTTTCGTACTCTGCTACTTGGCTCATTGTAGGGCAAATAGGCAAAAATGTTCAAATACTGCACATCCACTACATTGGCCTATCTCCGTTTTTAGTTACCTTAACACTTATGGTCTGATTTTTTTCAGAGCGATTAAGCATGCACAAATCCAGTTGAAGTCAGTAGAAGTTGCATGTACTTATCACCTCTGTCAATCAAGACTTAGCTATGTCTGGTTGGGTACCCAAATTTAGAGAACATGTGCTTGAAAATTTTGGCTTTAACCTGTGTGAGCCTCAGTTTCCTCATGCAAAACAGGGATAGATTTGTAAAGTTTGTGAAATCTTCAGATAAAAAATGCAATGTAATTGCAAAGTGTTAGTATGTTGTTGTTGCTGCTTTGTGTTCTACTTTTTTGTAGATGAGCACGCTAAAAATAATTCCTAGGTAGAAAACAAAACAAATCCTCAAAGGCTGGACAGTGCTACATGAATCTGTTGCTATCAAAATGAGAGCAGCATCAACAGTTGGTCTATGTTCAGAAAGCATTCAAATTCCCTTCTGCCTAAAGGCCTACAAAATTCATCCCTATTCAGGGAGATGATTCTCTGGCTGCCAGAGAAAACAATCTATAGACTAAAAATTCTTAGGTGTGTCTTCCATGGGAACAAAATTTCTCTTCATCCCTCCAAGATCATGTCCACCAAGCACATAATTTCATCATTTAATTTGACAGTATATAACTAACCAACAGAGCATTTTTAAAGAATGAGATTTTATGAAAATATTTATGCATAATAATTTGGTAATTACAGTCTCTAATTGCTACAATAGAATTGATAGTTTCCTGCTGAGGCTTTTTATCATGGGAGAAGTGCTGCATCACACTCTTGACACTTACTAAGCAATTGAAAGCAAGTACTGGGTGACTTCCAATAGTGGTGGCAGCATTTCCCTGATTTTTTTAATCACTAAAATCATAGGGAAGCAAAACATGTTGCTCTCAGAAGTCCTTATGAATTATCTAAGACTTGTAATAACACCCTCAAATGGTGTTCTCCTGATGTACAACAGAACATTTAGTGACAATGCTGGGTTGTGAAATTAGAAAACCTCATAATTGACTAGAAGGGGTGATCATTTTGGTTTCAATAAACTCTATAAGAAATAGGAAAAAGAAGTTCTCATTTTAATAACTGTTGATGATAGACATGAAGTGACTCAGGCAGAAACTATCGCCTGGCTGAGTCAAGATTTATTTGATGACTTTGTCAGCAGCTGACCTCAAGGGAGTGAACAATGTTCTGGCAAACTGGCTTTTGCTGTCTACAGCTGCTGCCAAGCAAAGTGAGCTTACTTGAGACAGGGGTGAGGCATTTAAAGGACAGATCTCTTTGCGTTATTAACACACATCTACTCAGCTACTACAGATAGAACAAAGGCCAGCATGTGTAGGTATGGATTCCTGCTCTGTTTTCTTGTTTTGCCACATATATGCATTTACCAGTCTTAAAAACACACAATTCAAAAAACACAGGTGGGGACTAGCAGAGGTAAAAGTCCCCTCAGCCAAAGGGACTATGCTTATTTCAGAATCTGATGACTTGAGTAACAAGTAGAAATAAACTGGTTTCCCCAGGGCCACTCAATAATAAAATAACTAGCTGACAACCTTATACGTTGCACATGTGTAATTTGGAAAGTCATGTGCCTCCATATGCCAATATGTTTGGGATGTAACCAGCGCTGGGTGGTGTGGGATGGAGCTGGAGCCTGTGACCATTAGGATCCTGGTGTATGGGCTCCCTTTGAGGTGGAGCCTGTGTCTATGGGGGAGCAAAATGGAGACAGGGAATAGCAGGACCCCATGTGCCAGGTTGCAGCGCAACTCAAATTTGGCCGGCCCATCGTCAGTCCATCATGCCAGCAGGGACGGAGCTCTGCCATTACACCACCCAGTTCTGCTAGTTACTGCCTCCCCCATTGCAGAGGGATGTCCTGACCTGCTCGCAACCAGGAAGTGGGAGGGGCTGCCCATAGTCAGTTTGATTGTGGGAAAGGGGAACCAATGGGAAGGCAGGACCCAGAGCTGGGTGGTGTGGGGCAAACCCCCTCTTTTATGAGTGATGGAGAGGACAATGACAGTGGTATTTAGCAGTGACCACACAGCTTTTTCAAGCACATATATTTATTAATAGAGTAAAAAGTATTACAGAGGAAACCTATTCAAACAAACAAACCAGATTTAAACCCACACTAAACCAACCAGAAATCACCCATCTTCCACAGGAGGAGTCTGATAGGCCAACATCCCTTCCAACCCTTCAGTAAAAGTTGGGGCCGCCTCCTGTTGCTTGAGAAGAGGCAGCCCCGTGAGTTTCATCAGAATCTGCAAAATCCAAGTGATATCTTGTTTTGAAAAGGCTGTAGCCCTTACGGTTGCAAAGAAAACCCTGCAAATATGAACATAACACCCAACACTAGTTTCCAATATCTGCTGCAACCAGACACGGGGCTTGAAATAATAGATGTAAAATAAGTGTGTTCTCCTTCCACCAGCTGCTTTAATTTATTGCAGAAGGGTGGAAACAATTTATTCACAGGCGGGAAGTTGAGGATATATGAGTCTGTTTCTTCAAATCCGAAGACACATGAGAATAGGAACCCCAAGGAACTTGCAGAAAGTCAGAGCCTTTGTTTATGCTAGGAAGTTTTCCCTAAAATTGCGCACTAATCCTACCATGTAGAAATTTTTTGTTTTGTTTGTTTGTTTTTCGTGGAGGAAAGAGGAGAATACAGGGGATCATTGACATGAGGTCTGTCTGGACATGAGGCAGTTTCCTTCACTGATGCTAGCAATGGTAGGAGCTCAGCGTATCTCTCTCTCTGCCCAGCTTAGTGTCATCTGCAAACTTGCTGAGGGTGCAATCCATCCCATCATCCAGATCATTAATGAAGATGTTGAACAAAACCAGCCACAGCACAGACCCCAGGGGCATTCTGCTTGATACCGGCTGCCAACTAGACGTTGAACCGTTGATCACTACTCGTTGAGCCTGACAATCTAGCCAGCTTTCTATCCACCTTATAGTCCATTCATCCAATCCATACGTTTTTAACTTGCTGGCAAGAAAAAGGTGGGAGACCGTATCAAAAGCTTTGCTAAAGTAAAGATATATCACATCCACCACTTTCCCCATATCCACAGACCCAGTTATCTCATCATAGAAGGCAATTAAGTTGGTCAGGCATGACTTGCCCTCGGTGAATCCATGTTGACTGTTCCTGATCACCTTCCTCTCCTCCAAGTGCTTCAATATGGATTCCTTGAGGACCTGCTCCATGATTTTTTCAGGGAGTGAGGTGAGGCTGCCTGGTCTGTAGTTCCCCGGATTCTCCTTCTTCCATTTTTAAAGATGGTCACTACATTTGCCTTTTTCCAGTCGTCCAGGACCTCCCCCAATCGCCATGAGTTTTCAAAGATAATGGCCAATTGCTCTGCAATCACATCAGCCAACTTCCTCAGCACCCTTGGATGCATTAGATTTGTGCGTGTCCAGCTTTTCTAAATAGTCCTTAACCTGTTCTTTCACCACTGAGGGCTGCTCACCTCCTCCCCAGACTGTGCTGCCCAGTGTAGCAGTCTGGGAGCTGACCTTGTCTGTGAAGACCGAGGCAAAAAAAGCATTGAATACTTCAGCTTTTTCCACATCATCTGTCACTAGATTGCCTCCCCCACTCAGTAAGGGTCCAACACTTTCTCTGATCATCTTCTTGTTGCTAACATACCTGCAGAAGCCCTTCTTGTTACCCTTCACATCCCTTGTTAGCTGTAACTCCAGTTGTGCTTTGGCCTTCCTGATTACACCTGTGCATGCTCGAGCAATATTTTTAGACTCCTCCCTAGTGATCTGTCCAAGTTTCCACTTCTTGTAAGCTTCCTTTTTGTGTTTAACCTCACCGAAGATTTCTCTGTTAAGCCAAGCTGGTCGCCTGCCATATTTGCTATTCTTTCTGCACATCAGGATGGTTTGTTCCTGCACTCTCAATAAGGCTTCTTTAAAATAAACCCAACTCTCCTGGACTCCTTTCCCCCTCATACTAGCATCCCAGGGGATCCTGCCCATCAGTTCCCTGAGGGAGTCAGTCTCTTTTTCTGAAGTTCAGGGTCCGTATTCTGCTGCTCTCCTTTCTTCCTTCTGTCAGGATCCTGAATTCAACCAT